CATCTCTGCGTTTGGATTACAATTATGTTTTACGATGCTCCGATAAAATTTAAAACCTAAACGAAATGTTGGCACCTACATCTTGTGTGTGCAATACAGAAAATCATGTGCTTCCCATTTACGTAAGGAATAAGCCCAAACGCAATTAATCAGGCTATTATTATTACACGAGTGTAATTTGTTATATGTTCATGGTTTCGCAAAATTGCCATTATAACGGCTAACATAACACAAGTAATCAATCAGTTTACATTAATTTACAATTATTTATTTATTAATCGTGTCTGCTGCTTAATGGGTAGGTAACTTATTGGAGTTTACATGCACTCACTAAATTGCACTGCCCTTTCCCAGAAGTAAATATTCTGTATTCACAACAGGATTTGACATAATTGGCGTATTAAGATAAGCGTGCGTTGTTAAACAACCCAAAAAGTAATAACCGGATTTCCCATAACTTAATTTGCAAATTATTACTTGTCTTAGAGGGGGTAAACTTTATGTAAATATTTATTGTGCTCAATCGGTATGAATAATAAGCAATCAAAAAGCTTTTATCAAAACTTAATAACAATCGAGTGTTTAATGTGTGTCATGATCGGCAATTTAGCAAATTCCATGTCACATTAAAGGATCGACCGAAATTCAAAATCATTCTTGTTTACGAAATTTGGCAAACGTCCTGGTAGGAAAAAATTATCAAATTTTTATACACACTACTTAACAGAAAAAAGGAGAGACAAGCGTGAAATTAGCAAGCAATTTGACCGACAGACACAGCCAATTAATACATGTGCCATTTTATAATGCGAAATTAGGTTTATTAAAAAAAACTTTTCACTAATTTGGTGTGAAATATTCAATTACGAAAAAAAAGGCCCGGAGGAGACTTTTCCTTTCGACAGGAGTTCATAATTCATTCGCAATTCTTCTGTCTTAGCGTGTAACGTAAGTAAATTAATTGCTGGCTGTCAACAGCGGACAGGATTTAAACATAACGCAACTAGTGCAGTCTTTACTTGCGTCGACAATTTCATATTATAACTAACCACATGCATATCCTACACAATTTTGTGCTGCTAATAGCATGTGCGAATCTAATTTATGCATGTATGAATATTTTCTATTGTTATTATTAAGCACAAAATATACGATTCCTTACTCCCACCAGCTTATAAGTACTGATTCTTAGTATTTGTGTACCATATTTGGTCTATTAATTAATGACTTTATGTCCAGTGAAGCATTATTTGATAAGAGTGAAGATACCTGAGTTTATGAAATTAAAGAAATTTATGTAATGCATGATGACAAAGTATTTGTTTGTTAAACTCTGAACGCAATAAAATGCAAATCTCTCTTAAACATAATGGAATTCTTGTTGAGGTACTCGAAAAAAAAATTGTACAACAACTACAACATACTTTTGGATTGACTTTATCTAAATTAAGGTAGTGAAATGGTTGACTGAACGATTGACTGCTTGGTTCTTTAACACTTAATTTCAACACTTGGTTAAGTTTTCCATATTAAAACTAAATTAAATTAAAAATTACTCCTAATGAGGAAGGATCATGTAATATTACATTACTAATGTAATAATAATAAATGGAAATTTCTGTAAAAATCCAAGAGAAACTAGCTCCACGTACATAGATACTTGAGCAGTAAAAAAAGTACATTTACTAAATTTATCCAAGCTTGGCTAAAGTTTAAAATGTAATTTAATGATAATTGGATTGATTACAGATTTTTATTTCTTATTGATTATTTTACGATCGATTGCAAAACATACAAACAGAAGACTGCTGCTGCTGATACGTAAATTTATTATTCTTGAACTGTACAATGGCAATGTGAAGAATGGAAAACGGTTACAATGCCTTCGTCCTAAGTGGCTGCCCTGGTGGTCTCGAAATTAGAAATACCAAAGCAAATGACACGTATTTTTTAATGAGTAATAAATAATTAATTATTATTAGCACGCTGATAAAGTCACATTTCTAGGATTCATGAGTGATTGGATGTTAAGTCCTTCCGATCTCATTACAGATTAGAGGCATCCGTAACCCATCACATTACCGTGTTAATTATCCATTAAATAAAACCTGCATGACATTTGATTTCGTTTCCAACTGAATGATTCTTGAAAAGGGCATCAAATCTTTTAACGACAAGAAATGAGCACGCCAAAAAAAATCTTGGCTACTCAATTCATACGTGCAGAATTTCTTCTAAATACGTATCCACGTATAGCAAATTGTCCTTGCAAGAATGCAGAGTATTTAAATCGTTTACTGCTACGTACGATAAGATATTTCTACTCCGAATCACTTTTCCTGGTTTGTGAACAAACTTAAAAGTGAAATACTTGCATTTACTTCGAAACAGGAGGACAAAAGGAAAGATGCATTTTTCACCCTGTCGTCCTCTTGTCTTTCTGTGTGTTCATAAGATAAAAAAAGTAAAGTGATCCAGATCGTAGTATTTCCCGATTCTTTGGCTCTTTATGATTAGTATTCAGTGCGTGTAAAAACGAGAAGGACCACAAACAACAATGCATGCGTTCAATTTTATAGAGCAACAAAGAACAACAATAACTTTGGTTTTATACGTGCTAACTTCTTGAGCTGGGAGCAGCATACACCATGCAGCTCGTAACGTGTGTGTACCAGTCATTCATTGGGGCAGTATCGCACACCAAAAATTGCAACAAAGTAGAGATACAACGTAAACCAGCAAGTTATCAAAACCCTTTTAATTTCTTCATGCACTGGCAGCGTTGAATAAAGTGGGTGCATCAGGAGCCGTGACTTGATACAGTTTGGAGATGAATTTCAAATATGAGGAAACTCTCCCAAAAACCATAATTCGTCCCTCGAACGCCGAATTAAACACATTGTATCGCATCCACAGCCTGCCCCACCACAGATGAACTAATTAATTCTAATTACATGTTCACACCACAACTGATAATCATACGCAAGCAAAGCTGGTTTAAGATATAGCAAATACCCTTTTGATCCGCAATCTTATCGAGTTTGAAGTTTGCTTACGTATAGTTTTGCTCACAATGTATTCATTTTACGTTATTGCACACTTTTATTTTTAAACTTACTCCTGTTAACGAAGGAAAGACTAGGTGGAATTATTTATTAATAGAATCCTTATTTATTATTTTCCTGCGTTTATTATGTATCTTGTTTGGCAAGCGTACATAATATTGCTAAAAAGTGTTATTAAACGGATTTAGTCCGTTGCGGAATTAGAATTTCATCACTTAAAACCATAGCTCATTTAAGGAAATCTTTTCCATCTTACATAAAATATTTGTCCTCCTACTACTGCACATTTATCTACCATTGAATATCAATCAAGGTCCAATTGTGATGGGACAATAGCTCCGAAATTGTCAGCAGAGGCAGAAACAATGAGTTTCAGAGAGAGAGAAAAAAACCTTAAATAAAATGCAAGTGCAAATTTACACCTGAATTCGTTTAGAATCTCATTTAGAATGAAGTTGTCAAGTTAAAGAGAGAGACGAGCAAGTAGGCGATGCAACACACATACAAATGTCGTCGTCGTCGGATGCACATTGTAGAAAAAGTGACATATGGCACCGAAAAAGAGAGCTAAACAGGAGGACATGCAGGAAGGGAAACTGCAGTTAATAATGCAAGAACAAGACGAGCGTATGCAAATAAATACGTACGTGAAAACAGTTTGTGTAGCAAGGCAACAATTGCAAGTTGAAGTTTAAGGACTTTGCAAACGACTCAATTTGATAGAACGTCGACATGATTGGAATTAATTGATTAAATTGTGAGACTCGCTGTATATAATTTAAAAGCTTTTCCCCACAAAAAATCACGATTTGCACATTATTAATTGTGAAGAGAAAAAAAAAGCAGAAGAAGAACCAAGTCTGAAATGTCATGAATGGAAACAATAAAAAGTACACATATATTATGACCTATTGTTACAATTCAAAATTGTCATTGTCTTTTCCAATTGTACAAGAAGCGTTCAATATTGACAAGCTTAAGCACTACAACTCAGGATCAGTTCCCGAAAGTCTGACTGAAACAAGGCAGAAAAGAGAGAAATGGCAATTCTGAGATTGAAAAATTGGTAAAATAAGTGAAACATTATTAATACTGCTCTCATTGAGAAACTGCTTTGATTGCCAATACCGCATCAGTTTGGTTTGCTGGTGTGACGTGTTTGCATGTACATATTCTATGCAGATGAGAAATACTTATGTTTCTGGTATGCATAACTCTGTGCGGTTTTGTTTATGTGGCCGAGGAGTTAGCACATGCCCTAGAATTTAAAAAGATGGTAATCTTTGTACATGAATAAAACTAGAGTAAAGTCCGTTTGACTTGCAGCAGATTCATGACGAATTCAAAATGAATGAGTTAAACATTGACAAACAAATTAACAAAAGTAAGTATTGATGGTGCTACACGTCTTTTTTTACTACAACTCCCAAGTAACATGTAAGGCTTGCTTTGATCGAGTGGGCAGTAAATAAACAAGGTATCCAATTTCCCTAAGGTGTTTAATATGCCAAATTTTCCAGAATAGAAGGAGCATTGATTTGGTCATGAAAAGGAAAAGAATGCAAATTTCGAAAAGAGCGAGTTTGTCCCCCATTCCTCGATTCATTTTCTGTTCGTGGTTACCCTACTTTCGATCATTTGAAGTCAAACGAGAATATAAAGAGCAATTAAAATACCACGTACAAAGACATTAGTAGCTTTTTTTGTTTGAGGAAGAATAGTTTTATTGGTCTTATTGGAAACGCAATAAGGTAAACCTAGTTAAACCCAACGAACGAAAATTGCACAAAAAAACCTGAGAAAGTGAGAACTTTCATGTGCGAAAGAATTGAAAAGGCAAAAACTAAAAGTGAAGATGAACGATTCATCATCACGAAAAAAGTAATTGACAATAAATCAATGAACAACTTAAAAATTAACTAGATCAAATCTCACCTTCGTATCCTTTGACTGGAGAAAAGTAGCAATTCCGTCTCGCACTCTATTCTTCACACTGAAAGTCAAAGATGATATTGTAAGTTATCTCTGATAAGCCTTAAGCTGATTTTATAAGGATAAAGACGTGAGTAAAAAAAATAAGCCCGAATTGACTCAGATAATCGCAGCAAAGATAACCATTTCTATTACCTTACTGATTATTGAGTATTATCTTAAAATATCAGGGGCAAAAAAAGTGAATATTTGTATGTATGCACTTTTTTGTTGCTTTAAAAATTTCCAAGATAAAAAAACCTTACCCTCGAATGGTGCCTCTATCACTCAAAATCTGCTTCGTGCCCTCTCCTGCCCTCCTGGAAAATATATCCCGAACACCTGCAAAATTGCTGAGTGATTCTTCAGCCGCCGCATCCTTCGTGGCTCCCTTATTATTCGGAGTTAGACTTGCTGGAGACCGTGAAAATCCCACCATTTCATTCACATGAAAGCCACTCTCATCCATTACGACGACCTTGTGCGTGGCAAAGGACTGTTTTCCTGCTTGATGCTCCAAAACTGCTTCTGCAGCCGCTTTCTGCGCCCGTTTCAACGCCATTGACTCGGACAGTGTCATAATTGCACCCAGAATATTGGTCGGTGCCTCTGGTTGTTTGGCTGCTGAAGACTCTGCCACGGTCGCATTGACGCCAGCCGTGTTCTGAACAGTGTGAATCTGCTCTACCTGACCATCAAGTTGAGCAGATGAAGGTGGTGGTGGCAAAATGGGAGCCTTGCTTTCCGGAAGGGGTGGCGGTACTGCGATTTTATCATCTTCACCACCACCACCACCACCACTGCCAACTTTTACCTTCTTCATAATGCTCCTCGGAAGAAGCGGGGGCGACGGGGAGTCCGCCTCACAAATTTCTCTCAAAGCAAATTGTGCCGCTTGACAGGACAATGGACGGAATTCGGCCGAAATATCCGACTCCGTGTCAGACTCGGAGGTTTCACTTCCAAATCGATTGCCACCACTTGAACCACCCAAATTGATATTCATCCTGGGCGGCGGAGTCATATCGGAGCGAGGAGAAGATTGCCCAGAGGAAGAAGATGACGATTCTTCCTCACAAGGACAGTTGTGATGCTGCTCGACCTTTTGTTTGAGGGAGACGAGAGGCCTCCCAGACGTGGAGGAGACGTCAATCCTCACCGGATGAGACATGAGTCCCAACATTGGTTCCTCCCCGATCTGGATCTTGATTACATAGTTGGACCCCGGATGATGGGGGACACTGTTGGATGCCGACTTTTCCAACATGGTCGTGGTGGATGACCTCAACGAGGTTCCTGACTCCACGTATATCACGGCCCGTTGTTCACTGCTCGACGACATGGTTCGGTTCAATATCCCGTGTACAAAGATGATGAAGAAATCTTGTTTATTTGGCAGGCATTGAAAACAATTACCTTCACGTTTCTCAACTTGAAACACTGAGAGAACCGTAGTCCTGTAGCTTTTCTTTGGGTTCCTTAATTCTTTTTTTTCCGAATCAAAAGAATTCCTTGGCTCGTTGTTGCACTTCCTACTCACTCTTTTTTTATAATTATTCCGAGCCCAGTTACTTTTACCCTTTATCTACTTAAACAAAACTACTCTTATTCAATACAACTGCATACACATTGCCTGGCTTTGGTAATTGCACGAGAAAAAAGGCTATGAAAAACATTACCAGCCCGAAGCCGAACTAAACACACAGAAATTTCGTACAAGAAGTAATTGCTTCTTCTACTTTTTTACTTTAAACGCACTCCTCCACACACTTACGGTAATTCATTCGGTTCAAGTCCGTCGTGGTGAAATTATTAATACACCTTTATTTTTAGTATTCTACTCACTCACGGTTCAATTTTTTCACTTTATGCAAAGATGCCGCAGTTTTTTTTGTATAGTTTCAGTTTGGTAATTGAATTAAATTTTCATCCCAAAATTTGCATATCATTCTAAATGAAGAAATTATGTTTTTGTGAAGGTCCATGAAATTGGGAAGATGAGACGCATCCAATCGGATCAAAGATAAGGTTATGTACTTGTATAAAATATGCAGGGTGACAAAACTATCAACTATTTCACACTTTCCACCACTTATTTAAACTGTTTATTCGAACGCCCACTTTTATTGAGGCTGAGTTATTAGCAGAACTCTGTAGTGGTATCAGCAACTGTTCTGGTTTTGGGTGACCAACCAAATCTTTTGAGAGAAAAAATTTCAAACTTTTTAGCAAGGAAGATGATGATGCTCACGCAAAAGTAATGCTGCGAATACACGAATGTATGTATGGACTTGGAGCTAGGAGACGCCAATCGACGTGCGTGCACCTTGAACGTTTGCCTGCAAACTGAACGCTATTTGCGAATTGTTGTGATTTTTTAACCACCAAAGTTGCCACTACTAAATATTGGCATGCAGCATACGAGAAAGAATTGCATTGCGAGATTAGGCGAGATTTGTACGAATGCAGTCAAACGGTAGCTCGTGGTGGTGGTGGTGGTGATGCCAATAAAGTAATTGTTGAGTGCACAACAATGGTTAGTACGTACGTATGTTAAGGCTTTTGAGTGAGTGAGGTTTTTCCTACGTGACATTTGTTTGTATGTAAATACGTATCTAGGATTTTAAAACTATGCACATGGACATTTTGTGAACACAACAAACCTTTATTGAAACCTTAATGAGTTAAAACAATTAAAGTTCTCCTCTCACACATTTTTAAACATACATTTTTTAACATACTTATTTCTGTACATTGCATGCAAAACTGAAATAGTGATTCATTCAATTACTTATAATGGAAACAATAATATGGATTCCTTATTTCCCAGATTTTTCGTGAATGATTGGAAGATGAATGACACCCGTCTCGTCGACAATGTAGCTCTTCTTGGTCGAGGATGAAGATGAGGGGAGAGCTCCAAAGTTTTCACGTGGTTCACTGGCAGCACGGACGATGACACTTGTGGGATCGGCGATGCCAAACTCGTAGCCGAAATCGTACTTGAAGTAGATTAAGGGGTTGGCTTCCACCAAGGGTTGTTTGGCTGAGTCACCAACTGGTGCAAAATACAAATACATATGTAGTTGGACGAGATCGAGTTCTGAGACTAATTTTAAATTTTGTTGTCTTATTAAATCTTTGTGAACTTACCGCAATTTGCTTTCATAGAACCGACAGACGACGAAGGTTCAAACTGCGAAGCGACTTTTCTGTCCAGCTTATTATAGCAGAGACCCTGCGTCATGAGACTAATGTTGTCTTTAAATTTTTTATTCAAATCGTGCATCCTCTCGTCGACAAGAATAGTTAAAGAGTTTCTCCGAGGTTTTGAATCTACTCGCCAAGTGGATGTGGGTGGATCGTAGGAGACTCGTTTCCACGTGGTCATGGTCACTTTTTCATCTCGAGGATTCCACGTGGGATTCAGAATTGAATCGCCGTTATAAGATCTGTGATCCGAGTCCAAAGAAGAGGCAAAGTCGAGCTTGGGGGTAAATTTAGAAGGCTTGATGTACGGAACGAGGGCTCGAGATGGCTGGGAATGTCCTTGTGGTTCTGGCACTGGTACTGATGGCGTGGTTGCGGGTGGGGTTGGAGGAATTACTCGAATCTCGTGAACTCCTGGACCTCTTCTCCCCTGAACAAATTACATAAAATTGTTACTGCGTTCGGGTTTTTAAACGACACTATGATTATTATTGAATATAACAAAGCAAACAGAAGTATAAGTTGTTACGCAATTAATTAATACTTACCACAAAGATTGGAGAATGGCTGTTATTCAACAACATACATACATTTACATATATCTATAGTAATTGGTCACATTTTGTGGGCGTTATTTTAATGCAACTGAAACATATGAAAAGCTAGGATTGAACAAAAAAGATATAGTTTTTATTAATTATTCTGGAAAACAAAGTATGATGCTTAATTATGATGGTGGTTGGTAAGAACCAAAGCACAGGAGTAAACGAGTATCATCATTGTAATAATAAATCATAATATTTAATAATATTTAAGTACTGAACTTTCTTCGGACATTAAGAATAATACGAAGGGTCGGGATTGAGCCAAGATTATTTTAGCCACAAGTTTGTGAAAATTATACCCACAAAGCACACGTATTTTTATACTGCAACGTGATATTTTTAGCACCATACGGTTAGGAATTGTGTGATTACTTACACTATGATTTGATTAAATAAAAAGTAGCTTAAGCTGGAGCAACGGCTACATACATATGGATACATAGATTAACTAGGGATTAATTATATTTAATTTGGGACACTAAAAATAGTATTTAAAGTCTGGAAAAGGTTGAAGACCAGAAAACATTAAACCTCTTTATTGGTGGTTGAAGAACTGTATGACGACGTCATCATCGAAGAGCTGTATTCAGTTTTGGTGGACGAAGAGAATTGGTTGGGATCAGCGTCTGATCCTCTAAACGGAGCTTTTCCAGTTCGAGGAGATATTGATGTTGAGGGTGTCTAGAAGATACACAATACAACTTTGTTGTTATACCGTAATATAGAAAGTAAGTACTTGCTGATATTAGTCAATAGTATGTACATACTTGAAGAGGGGCAAATAAGTACTCAGGAGCTTCCCCAGGAGGAGGTAGAAAACTCGACTCTAAAAGTGTAGGCATAGGGGGAAGCGTTTGCTTGGAAAATGATGATGATGACATTGATGACGACTGACGTTTCTGGTATGAAGAGGAAGTCGTCTCCTCAATCGCAGAATACGAGCTAGTTTGCTCAAAAAAGTTTTTCATCTGTTTGAAGCTTCTCTGGGGATCTCCAGGTGGTTCTGGGGTGGGAGTGAATGGTGGAGGTGAGAAAGGTGGGGAGAAGGGACCCGGAATTGGCGTCGTTCGCGGTGTCGACACTACCGAAACGTAGTACTGTGGTTCTGGGCTTTTCAGACCAGTCGATGGAGGCTGGAATTGGTACGGGGTTGGACTTGCTGTACCGAAAAGTTGTCTAGGAGTGTGTGTGGAGAATGCTGGTTTCGGGGCAATCCTTGGAGGAGAACGTGAATAAAAGTTAGTTGGAATCGGAGACATTGGTGGTGGTGGCGATGCGATTGGACTAGCGTCAAATTTTGTAGGACTCTTGAACCTTAGTGGTTTCGACCACAGTTTCTCCATCTCTAAAGCGTCTTTACTTGGTGTTGGGGAACGACCCTGGTATTCCCGTGGTAGAGGCGACAACAATCCTGAAGAATGTGTTGCACCCCTGCCTTGGTTGGGTTCTTCTACTTCAGCTGGTGGCCAAGACCGGACTAGCTGCCGAACTTTTTCCGAATCGTTTTTATTCGTTGGTGCTGCTGTTGTTGATGGTAGGTGAAACGGCTTCGGTGGCACAGCAGGCTTAATTTTGTCTGCAGTCGTAGTAAATGTTTTCTCTGAGGAAAATACGCTTGACGAAGTCATCATGTCGGGCTTGAACGACGCAAATGCGGATGTGGTAACGGGCGGAGGCTGCACTGAGGTAAAAGTCGGAGACATGGGTGAACCACGTGGCGTCCACTTAACAGGCATTGGTTCGCTAATTTCGTAGTCCGACTCGTAATCTGACTCCTTGGTCCTATCGGGTAGTTCAAATTTACTGGGTGTAAAGATTTGTTTACTAGAAGATGCTGACGACTTGTAAATCCTATCAGTGATTATTTCCTCCTTAGAAAAATAAGAGTCAGAATATTGCTTTGGCTGTCCAGCAACAAATGTAGGAATTTGGAACTCCTCCAATTTAGGTTCGGGAACCGCGAATGGAAATTTATCTACTTGATAAATTGGTAGTTCCACAACCTTTGAAGGTTCTTTTGGTTGTTGTTGTTGCTGGAAAGACGTGCTTGGGCTTGACATATCTTTTAATGGAAGAAGTTTAACCCCTCCAGAAGGTGGTGCGATTATTGACTCAGGCATTTCTGATTTTACTTCAAACGTTTTCACCTTTTCTTGCACTTGATTCCGCGTTTTCTTCCACTGTGTGCTTGTAGGACTAGGCGCTATCAAGATCTCAGGGGCAGCTTCGGGCTCTAAAACAGGTTCAGCTGGGGAAAAGTCTTTGTTAAAAAGTGGAGAGAGGTTTTTAAACTCGTGGACAGAAGTAGATTTTGAAAATCCACTTTCAAAAGATGAATACTCTTGGTGAGTTAAGGTTGTAGTGAATGGGCCTCCATAAAAAGGTTGCATGCTCGCTAACTTGGGCTCCTATAAAAAGTAAATCAAAGCAGGAAAACATTAAATTATGTGAATTACGATGTCGAACAATAAATAGTAGAGCCCATAGATAAATGTATTTCATTTGCATGAATGTCAATACATGCGTTTGACAATCTATGAAAATTTGAACCCAATCATTCAACCTGAATTCTTTCTGACATCTTGCAAAAATAAACTTGCATGGATTCAACACTTCGTGTTAATTACTCTTTTTATAGTAATCTAAAATTTGGGATACCTTTCATCCCCTAGACCTATTGTATCATCAGTAGTTTTACTTGTCGACGCAAGCAAGGTTGCTATCGAGACGTTTGAATTATTCATAGAAGAGGTAGTAAACTCTTGTTTGAAAGACAAATAATGAATGATACAAAAGTTATATATGTAACTGAATACAAATTTGTTAGTAAAACTTATGTCATGCACCACTCATACCGGAGATGGAGAAATTTTGGGCTTCGGTGGAAGAGGGGGAGGAGGTGCCTTTATTCCCACATTGGGAATCACAGTGATATTGCATACGGATGATGCCTCTCCAGCCTCATTCTTGGCAGTAATTCTGTATTCTCCGTCGTGTAGATGTGGGACAACTGAAAAAATCCAATTACGTCGTCCAGTAAATAAGTATACGTAGAAAACGAGTCTTAAAAAATTATACCTTTTGGGATGATTAAAACATGTCTGGTTGGGGTATCGGTTCTTATATGTACGTCATCCCCACAACACAATTTCGTCCCATTTCGGTGCCAGACTATATCTGGGGACGGTTTCCCATACACATCCACTTCTAAATACAGACGTTTACCTTCGTCCAGTGATAAAGACTGAAGTCGTTTACTAAACACTGGCGGAAACGCGATTTCTAAAATCCAACAAACAAGACATAAGTTGAGAATCGTACAATTGGTATGTCAAAATTGAGAGTTCAATAAGGCACTCACTCTTAACAACGAGATCGCAGACGCTGGTAGCCACACCTGACGCATTCGTTGCGGTGCATGAATATCTCCCAGCATCACCAATGCTAACTTTTTTCAATTCGAGTTGTACATCTCCAGATTTCTGATTGTATGAAAATACCAAGTTAGGGGATGGCGGTATTGAATCCGCTCCATTATTTTTAGTCCAATGAATTTGCGCTGGGGGATGTGCTGGACGGAAATTAAGAAAACGGAGAAATTTCCAACCACATAAAATTTTTGAAAATTATATAAATTGTACTCACCTTCAACAACACATTTTAAAACTACATTATATGCACCCTCGTCAACCATTCGACCTTCTAATGGAATTGCGAATCTGGCTGGTTTCGCTAATGGTTCGCTCCGTACCATTGTGACGGGAATAGCACCATGTTGTTGCTGCTTCTCCGACATGTAAGGACTGGACTCCTGTGGAATCTAAATATCACATAAATGAATAGTAGAAAAAGAAAACCACTTGTAAAGTACCACGTAATATCAATACCTCCAAATTCTCTTTGACTATTAGACAACCAAAACATTTTGCATCTCCACCCGCATTTATAGCTTTTGCTAAGTAATTCCCTTTATCGGAAAGTTTGCTCTCTTTCAGGATTAACGAATAACATTTACCATTTCTATGAAACTGCAACAGGAATGAACAAGGAAAGCTTTAGTTGCACATTAATACACATGATGACATACATAAGCCTCTTTAACATAACCAATTAGTATACCTCGATTCCATCTCTTGGCTCAATTTTCTTATTATTTTTTAGCCAAATTAGTTCCGTAGAAGGATCACAACTGTCCTCAAGTTCCACAAGGAACTCAAACTTATCACCGGCTGTGATCATTTGATCTTGGATGATCGTTTTGAAATATGGTTTTTCCATAACCTCAACATCTTCGTCTATTAATCAACAATTAAGCAGAAAATAAGTCAGTTATAACAGTTGCAACGAGTAAGTAAAGTACAACGAGAAGCTTAAAAAAGTAAGAGTGCCTGTTGGATTTTGTATGGACGCCGTCGCATCACCGCCAGGATTCATGATCACAATGGACTCCTTTCTGGTGTCGGATGAGGCTATCGTAGTATCCTTAACATCCCCAATGGTATCACCAATGCTGACATCATCATCTTTTAATTCCGTTTTTAAAAGGGGGGAAACCATTTCAACATTTAGTTCAGACTTGGGTGTTTCCGGTTGTAAGACGACCTGCTATATTGGAAGCAGACATAACATTTAAAGCAGACACATAAAGAAGGCCAAGTTATTACTCAACTATTACTCAACTAGCACATATGCACATGGAAGGCTAGCAATGATAAACTTTCGGATTATTACCTTAGGTTTAGTCGATTTTTTTTCTGTCATAAAAACAATATCAAATAACTTTTACACTTTAAAATTACAAGATTCGGTAAAGCGTGGAGATTTACTCTTACCAAAAATTTGGAGTTCTATGTGAGTATCCGCATCTCCAACTTGATTAGTAGCTTGGCAAGAGAATATTCCCTCGTGAACATCTTTAAATAACTTGTCGAACATCAACTTGCAACGACCGTTGTTGAACGTGATAATATATTCCGGGGAGGTGTCGATGCATTCGCCCCCTTTGTACCACTGAACGGTAGGCAAGGGCTCCCCAATGACCGTGAGTTCTATCGAGTGCTCTTTCCCATGCGTGCCAGTTGAAATTGGGGGGTGTGGGACGAAATACGGCGGTCTCATAGGAGGCACTGCTTCTGTCACTAATCAGAATAACACATTAATGTCCGTCGTATTGGAATTATAATGCCACGTATCATAAAAGTCAAGTACCTGAAATTTCAGTGATAGGCTGAGTGTCAAGTTGAGAGCTCGGATCTTCACTGAACGACTTCGAGCTCAAAGCTCCCATTATTTGGAGTAGCTCGACCTCCACTCTTATTAATCTTTGGTTTAAGTTAATATTCCGTTGTTTCAAAGGCTCATGCTGAAGAAGGGAGCCATCAGAAGGAGTTGATGCTGGGCATGAAAAAGTAAAGAATATTATCAATACATGCAGTCCAAAACTTACACAATCAACAAATAATAGGTGGACAATTGGTTAATACCGAAAAGTATTTGCGAAATTCTAATAATCTCCTCCAGCCTTCCTTCTTGTTCAGATTCTTTCTTTTTAATCCCTTTGAGCCGGTCTAGGAGCTTTTCAATATCTTCAATTTGAAGATTTGCGTCTTCTGATTCCTCTCGTATTTTCCCAAGCATCTTATTGACAGACTCATAGTGTGTGAGAGACTGTAATATTATACAATTTATAATTATTCACAAGTTAATTACATATTGCAAATTTTAACTATTCCCCGTTTACATACTTCCTCAATGAGGCGAAAATAGTCTTTACTCAGAATAATCAAGTCTCGCCTTTCTTTTCGTTTGTCGTCTAAAGTAACCAGTAGTTTCTTGACGAATACAACTTTCTCGTGACTGTCGGGTATTCCAGATGACGACAACAAGTCCCTCAGCCTAACTTGCAGAGTCTGTTAGAAAGAAAATTACATTATATTTATTAGTTTATATCACCCATGACGTCTACGTTATATATAATACTTCTTTATGCCAACTTTTTCTTTCTTGGAAATAAATATAACTAAAAACCACACATTTACAAACAACCCATTTAAGCTTTTCTAAGTTGGCGTCTGTCCCACTTTTCGCGCAACCAAACTTTCAGTCATGTAATAATTATAATTTGTTAATGGAACTCTTTGACAGTTTAACTAGGATGAACTAGCAGCAAAAAACTCCATCAAGATGATTTTAATAGTACTTGGAAGGCAAGCCAACACAGAAGATGATTAATGAGTGATCAATTGACACAAAATACCACCGCGATATAGAGATGAAATACCTGCACTGTGGACTCGAACTTCCTGTAATTTTCAATGTTCTCATCTGCATCGTCGGTGCTGTTTCCATAACTGGCTGGAGTTTCCAGTTCCCGAATCAGGTGCTGCAGCTGGGTGGTTATCAGGTCGAGATCGTGATGAACCACTCGATCCTGCAAACTTCCCGTGATGTGCTCTCTAGCTTCGTCCAACTCCTGGTCGTGACCCAGGTGGGCCATCATTGAACGAAGAGAATCCGTCTCGACCTCTCCCTCCTTTGGGGGCTCCTGGAAATGACAAACGAAAATCGAAATCATAAATTAACACTTTTTATTACTTTTAAGTGAATAAATTCAAGTAAATAAGCAAATAAAATTGATATAATTGATGAACGATGACATGAACTGTAAGACTGATCATTGATAAAAAAGCTTTGAATCTGCTCACTCCATCCTCCTCCTCCTCAACTTCTAGAATTTGTTCCAAACATGGTGTGAATATACGACACGGCCGTACTCTTAAATTTCTAATACCCAATGCAACGACATTTTCACCGGCGGCGACGTCGTCGTCGTCGTCATTCAAGTAGTAAGTTTTTGAATGACAGCAACAGCAAATTCGACGCAGACAGCATATCAGACACATTGCAATAAATAATTAATATTTAAATAATAATTTAATGAAGGGGGCAGATAACAAAATTGACGAGCTCTAAAAAATACTAGATCCTCTCAATTCCTCTCTCTGGTCTGAAAACTCAGCAATGGGCCAATGACCCTCACCCTGTTTTTCTGGAAACTAATGTTGACATTCGCTCAGCGGGCAATTTTATTTTCATGACTAAATGACTACGGCCAATATTTGCATTTTTATTTCCATGGCTTACTTTAAATGTTTTTTAATTTCTAAAATATTACTGGTACTTACCTCGTGACGAATAGTATGTAGTAAGTGGTCAAATTTAGGCCCGATTTGAGTCCGTATTGTGTCACTTATTTCCTCTCTGAATTTGTCAAACTGCTCGAGGTCTTGTTGTAACAATTCGAGGGGGCGATCCTTTTGAGAACTTGTGACTGCAGTCAATTCTTCACGTTGTTCAACTTGGAGACAGATTTCGGAAACTTTGGATAAGTACGACTCAATTTCTGCAGTTACAGTGACATAACTTTCTTTTAACCGGTCACAATAACGCTCCAAGTCGATTTCGTGTTGGGTTTTCGAACTGGAGGGATGCTGGATGTCCAAAATCTCTGATACATAAGGTTGGTAGAATTATAAGTTAGTTTTGAACATTTGTGAACGCTACATGGAGCTACGATTTATTGTCATGAGCGTTTCACGTCAAATTTTATTGTTAGTGCAGGTTAATTAAATTAGAATAAAATACTGGAAAAGAAAAATTTGATAACTACAGTTTGACCTGCCCAAGTCCGCGATTACATTAACCAAATGAGCCGAATTATTTTATTATTTAACACCAGTTATTTTTATTTTGGCGTAAAAATCATACAAAATTTAATAATTTAAACGCCAAAATAAAAATAACTGCCGTTAAATAATATAATAATTCGGCTAATGTAATCGTGGATCACTTGGAAGTCAGGTCAAACTGTATTAAGGAAAAATAATAAATTTAAATTAAAAGTTGCTATTGATAGTCGCAATAATTTACGAAAAGTATCTGTGCAAATGTTTGAACGCGATAAATAACTTAACTCAACATTTATTTAGACACTAGTCACCGCATCCTCATTTGTCGTAAATACGAGCTTAGTAATTGTTCATTTCATGCTTGTATTACAGAATGATGCGAAACAAGAAACTGTTCAGTCACTCACCTTCCCGATAAGAAGTTAACAGAGGTTGGAAGAAGTTGACCAAAGCGTTCTCCAATTTAGGTTTGATTACTTTGTGGATGACAAGATTGATACAAGAGACCTTCGACTCGGTGTTTTTAATTGCATGAGCCACATCTTTCTTGGAAAGCACCGGATAATACTGTGGCCCTTGTTGAGTGGACCCGTCTCCCAACAAATGGTGGTCCAACTTCACCTATGTTCCCACACGGAAAGAAAACCAGACAGACGTTGATATTAATTGGGCGGATATTATTGGGTGGAATGGACGAGTCGGGGATTCAACAGCACCGATTTGCGACTGCAGATTTTTTGGAGAATTGCAACCAGAATATTTTATCTTGGTGTCTCACTTAAATGTCACAGAATGAGAAACGAATGGAAGGAACGACTTAACTCTGCTTAATGCATTACGTGTTACCACGAAACAGTATACACCGGAAGGAGAAGGAAGCAGTACGACTCCACGCTAAGCAACCAACAACCCGGTCGTAAATATCATATCCGACAGTCACTCAATCTCCGGTCGTACAGATGCAGGATTAACAAACCGTCTCCAGCTTTTGAGAAAACCGTGAAACGACGACAACCAGGAGGGATAAGCAAGTAGAATCTCTAAAAAACACGTGTTTTTCATTTGAACACCACTACCGTTTGAAACATTATGCACATACTGTGCAGCGAAGTACCGCCAATGCTAGACTTGAAACGCCAAGAGTTCCTGTCCGAAACTAAATTCACGATAATAATCCTTACGTTATGTTCAATATGAAGGAAAATGACATTTAGTACTCTCATTGAGTAATCCGGGTTGGTTATCTAGTTAAAAAGTTATGTTAACATCTGCCGTTTGCCCTACATTTATCTCATTCAGGATGAGTCTTAAGAATGTGGAACACTGTGAACATTGCCAGAACCTCTTCATTCATTCATTCAATTTAAATTTCGCAATGTTCTGCTTTATTTTATTGTTATGCAAATCTGGTCCGTTGAAAAGTATGGATCGTATCAGATACGGTTGGTGACTGCGCCGATGATGCGGGTGTTGATAAGCAAGCAAAGCAATGTTTGTTATTATGAAACATGATCTAACTAAACCGCACGGAACGATATGACAAGAACACGACCGCCTGAGAAGCGATATATCTATGTAAAAATCAGATCAGATTCAAAGCAATTCAGAGATTTCGGTTTCCTGAATGATACAACGAACTATTACTCGTAGTTTATCTTTCGTTTACTTGCATTCTGACTTTTCCACTTCAACTTTAAACTTGGTAAAAGCAACTTGTTGTATCTTGAATTAATTAACGAATGCTAAAAGATGGTAATGTGCAGACCCCAAATAAAGTCCTCATCAAATCATAACTAAATTTGATTTAGTATGATTATATTGCTTCTAAATAGGTCCAAGCTAACATTGCCCAACTCTTGTTTTTTACTTTCTCTCCAAAGGTTGATAAAGCAATGCATATCAATGTTGTCCTATAGCTTTTTTCTCCTGAACGGCCTGATGTGATCATCCACTGTCGCCCGGAAATCTAAGAGTAGGCACGGCACAACCAATTGCATAAAGCGTTCATTTCATAAAGCAAGTTAAGTAAACAAAACAAAACAAAGATGTGGGTTAAGCTAAAATCCGAAACCGAATCCGGGTCTGCAAAAAATGGAGCAGCCTTGAATAAGAAGAGCACGAATGTGCAGTCTGCTAATCAACGCAACCAAACCATTAGCTATATACCTAACCTGACACCCACTAGTCGCCGATATAACACGTACATACTTTTAGTGCATAGTTTGTTCTGAAATAGTGCACATTATTATGTTTAAATGATTTCAAGCAGTTTATATGCGGCAGGGAAATCCCGAGTTTGAATCAATTTGGTCAGAAGAGGAAATGGGCTAGCTAAAATTAGACGTTCATTTCAAACATCATCATCACATGTAGGTATCCATACATACCTAAATAACGTAACAACTTATGCATCATGATGAACACAGGTCACAAACAAAAACAACACCGGTCGTATCGCAGTATGTGGGAGAATCATGCAATTTTCTAATCTGCAAAATTTGGCTGAGGTAAATTATTTGCACCAACTAAATAACTTGCCTTATATTTGTGACAAACGTCTCGAATTTTTCCATCGGCCAGGAATGAGTCACTTTTGTCGCTCAGATCTTTGATAATCCTCTCAATTTCCTGCTCCATCATGAGGGTCGCGAGATCCAGATCCGATTTATGAATCTGTAAAACGGAGCAAATATGAATGCATATTTTGGAGTCAACTGCCATTTACAGAGAGAAAAGAAACAATTCTTCCTCACCTCATCCAACAAAGGTTGAACATTTTCCTTCTGAATGTGAACAATTTGGTTTAAGGCACTCAAAATTCTATTCCTGTCACCATCCTGTTCTCTTGTGGTGCGATAAACTTCCAAAATCTTGGCCCAGTCGGTGGCAATCTCCATTCTTTGAAGTAAAAGTTGCACAATTCGATTTGACAGTGTTTTTACTTCATTGATTTTTGTTTCAGAACCGCATTTTTCCTCTTCACTCAAATCTGGATAAATATTTTGAAGTTTGGACATCAACGTGTCCAATCCCAGTTTTCGGCGTACGTCCTCCAGTGTTTTCTCTTGATTGGTTTTGAACTGATAAACCGATTCTAGACTGTCGACAGGTATCACGACTTGTTGGCGAATTGTGGATGTTTCAATATTGAGAATGTTTTGATAAGTCTGCACAAAGCAAAAGGGATCTTGGTCAGCAAGTATATATATTGATTTTATTGTCATACTGCATTTTTACCTGGTTAACAGATTCTAAAAAGTGATTGTATTCGTCCAGCACGGCGAGGTGTTCGAGTTCTTCCAACAAAGCTTCTTTCCTTTGCAGAAGGGAGTCGTGGACAGCTCTCACACCCTGCGGAATTCATACAATTCAATTCAATGTTAAATTCCCAAATGGACTTTTTTCTATCATATCATGTTCAACGTGCTGGTGGCATTTTTCATCTGTCACTGCGTAGCTGTATGGTTTTCTTGTTTTAAATTTCTGAAAAGATTATTAATCTCAAGAACGTCGCAGCAGCAAGCACATACTTAATTAATAACAAATAACAACTCGCCTTGGTTTTTGGCGAGTCCCAACCATACGCTTGAAGAATGGCTTCTCCTTTAGCCAACGTTTCATAAATTCTCTTGTTCAGATCAGTTTTGGCCGTTGGATCTGGGTCAGTAGAAGAAAACGAGTCCAACTTCTCCTTTGCCTAATGAATTGAAATAATTGCATAATATTTCTACGATTGATGTTGTATTAGGAAAAGTGTAGGTTCAAACACAATGGTTAAATATAATCATCATTTTGTGCTCATGTACCTCATCCCCAAGCTGGAAAAATTCTATGGCGTCCGAAAGTGCTAAATCCAAATCCATAGCTTCCGTTAAGAGATCATTGATTTGACTTAGAATTTCATAAATCTTGGTTTTCAGTCCGTATCGCTGACTGAACTTGACTCCTCGGTGTTCCGCATCTTCCAACCGTTTCACGACACTGACGGCTTTCTCTTGAAGAATCTGGGAACGAAAAAATGATTTGTAAAGGTTTTTTAATATTAAAAATGTATTTAAATTTTGGCACGACCTTTAATTGTTTCTCCACTTGTGACAAGTGTTCCTTCCTTTGTTTCGCGGATGGGACGGAATCTCCAAAATTAAACTGGTCCAAAATACTTATGCATTGTTCCAGTTCGTGAACAACCTCCCGAATTTCTTGATCATATTTAGAATTGTCTGAAAGTTCTTCCAATTGTTCCTTCTTGTTCCGAAGTCTCTCTTCCAGTATGATTCGACGATCGTGAAGTCTTTCCAACCAGCGGTGAACTTGTCTTGTTGCTACAATTGATCAAAAATACATAAACGTCAGGTAAATTGCAAATTACAAGTTTGCATTTTAGTTTACCAAACTCCACATCTTTGACAAGGACCAGCTCCCTCGAGTCGATGGTGTAATTATATTCTGAAATCTTGTTTACGAGTTGATCACAGGATTCAAGGCAGGTGGCAACGTGTCGCAGAATTTCGGCCCGGTCAGCCTTAAGTCTTTTGAGTTGGTCTTGTGGTCCACCTTCCTCCCGGTCAAAATCTAGTCCTCCCAAGTAACTCAGTCTGGAGTAGTAGGCGTGAACATCATCCATTTTCTTGAGACAGTCGGATATGTTCCTGATCAAAAGAGGACAGAGTCGTCAGTATTTCACATAAATCTTTACTCTTATAAATTTGATTGCTTCTTATGAATTAAGGTCGTCGTCATTATTGGATGAGGACGAGTGAGATTTTTCTAAACATTTTCCATGTCAATTGATTTTATTCTGCACAATTAACGAAACTGACAAAGTTGGTTTTATACATAATTTACAGTGCCAAATATAATTGTCATTTGGTGCGGCATTCAAGTCACAATGTCAAGCCATTCAATTAGTGGGACGTCCCAATACCACGCGCTAATTGAGATAAGATTCATTTAGACTCATTCTTACGTATGAGCATTGAATGCCAACTGGATCACAAGTCGTCTCTCTTCCAAGACCAAGTTGAGATCTTTCCAAGTCTGTCCCAGAGAGTCGGCCATCGCTGCGTAAACCTGACACGAGATAAAATACGAAACAATAATTATGCATGAAAATCCGGCATAGTGCTATTTATCATAATTTAGACAAGTGTTTGGAACGTATTTATTTTTTCGAAACATTGTCGGTAAAGATCATGTTACCTCGGCGCGTGGTTTCTGGGTCGCGATCAAATTGTCTGCTTGACGCAACAGCTCCTCCACAGGACTCTGTTTCGACTGTGACAAATGCAAACAATTTAGTCCATAAATTAACACCTTTAAGTAATGACAGTGATAAATGGCTCTTCATCTACCTGAAGATTCTTAATAACTTGGTTATGATTCTTGAGAAAGTCCTCCGCATCTGCAAAATTATTCATGCACAATTAGTTTACTACGTGATTATATACGGGGTAAAATGAGATGTTTAATATTTCATGCGTTCCTTTGTGCATGAGAAAGTAAGCCAGTAATCAGTCTGTCGTATTATGGTCTCATTGACAAGTGATCATAATTAACAAAAAATGTTGTTTTATAGGAACTGTACATACTCCGGTCGTATTCTGATGACAGTTGCATAACCTGATTAGCTGATGACCAATCTCTCGTTTTCATTCGTACTAACTGCATTATTAAACTCTGTCCCTCCGCAGAGGGACAAAGGCAGAGCGCTGGCGCATATCCAGTCTTACCTGAATAATTATCCGGAAGTTTGAGTAGTGGGGGGTTGAGTTCAATAACTTTAAGTTGTAAACCCCGATGTGGTGTCTGTACAAAAGTGAAAGAAAATAATTAAAGTGCCAGTTTTCTTGTTGCGGTATTCATAAGCCGGTACTGCCGATATTCACGTTTCAGTACAAGCAACACCCAAGGCTGTTATTTTTTAAGAATTTTAAGCATAATTTCTAAACAGAATTGCGGGCAACTAATATGCATCTCAGCTAATCCAAAGTTTTCATTGTGCAGGGAAACCGTATAAAAAATAAAGATGCTAAATCAGCCGTCTGGCTAATGCTCCCATATCCACATAGTCAGAATTGAAACAACACTCATCCATTTCCGGGTCGTCGTACAAACAGCCACAACTTTGCATAAACCCATATTTTAAAATGGTCATAAATTATTGCAAGAGTGGAAGGTTACATAACGCCGCATCGTTCCCATTCCGCTTCCAACAAACACACTTTCCTCGTTTTTCTTGTTATTTATAAGAATCAAAATTATGAATGGAATGACAACGAAATGAAAGGGAAAGTAATGTAAATACTTATATTCCACTCGCAACTTTCGCTAAAATTCAAGGAAACCATTAAATCTGGTGTTTGTCTTGGATCACTGAATTCCAAAATGTTAAACATTTGCTGAAAACAAATTAAATGTTGCACTTATTGGCGTCGGAGTGAATATGTATGACGATTGACGATGATGTAATTCATCCCAAAATTCCAAACGTCTTTCCTCATCTTCCGTTTAGTATAATCATCACTCACATCTGCTCAACATTTCATTCCTTCAGTTTTAATGCGAACAGTAGACATTGAATTGCACTTTCAATTTGTGCACTATTTTCCAACCCCGAATTTTACTTGTTCTTTCCATTTTATCGCTATTTTGGCAGATGGTCTCATTCTCAACCACGCTCATTGTCACTAAAACACGTTTAGAAGCAATAAAATCCCATTTAATGGATAATTATAAGCTCTTTTCACATACACGACGCCATCACACATGTGAACATACGACGGGATTAAGATGTCAAGTCAAGGTGCTGTGTAATATAGTTCGCAAAGCAAAAATTGCATAGGCGATCACACGTGCAAATATTTAGTGTACACAAGTGCACGTTAAGTAAAATCCATGTAAAACAACAAATGAAATCCGTGTTAATTTGAGTTTCTGGCTGAGACTCTCGACGACGATGTAAATACTTACGATGTCCTTAGTGGTACATTTTCTAAACGCCACAAATTTACATGCCGAACAAATCTCCACAGATCCAGCTCAACTCATTAATTCTCATTCAAGTGATTCAAGGCAAACATTAATAAATTTCGATTAGGCTGAAGTTCAGTCGACGAAGTAAATAAATGAGCTGGAAAAATCGATTGTATGTAATGTTGCACCAGGCACAATGCACAGTGAAATAATTTACATGTTCTTTTAGCTGGTTTTGTGAGCGCTTCCATATTCGATTAGTTGGTGGATGGAAATCCGATGCATCTCAGTTTGCTTGAGGTCATGATGATTGACTGACTAACAACTGATGATGATGATTAAGTGCAACATCAAGATGCCTCCTTTTCCACTCCAGCCTCACAAACCAATGGCAAATTTGGGTGCTTCGTTAGTGGAAAGGAGATCAGATTTCAAAAAAAGAGAATTCAAATTCAACGTATCGAAGTATTGAATGCGTATTGCTAAATAAGTAGCTCCACTTACTTATCCACGTACCTAAATAACACACCCAACGCATTTTCGTAAATTATTAGCTCAGTTCATAATTTTTTACGAGGGCTGTTTATTTATCAAAATAAAGCCTTTATTTTTTTTGAGAAACTCCCAAAGTCAAATATTAATTCTCTTTTCTAAAGATGGAACACTTATGCCACAAATAAATATTCAAAAAATGTATTCCAGTCAGAATATTTAGATATTTGCCAATTCTTTCGTCTTTTACCTATTTCACAGGTTGAAGTGTTGAATGGTGATGAGACGATACCCTTTTTAAACTCTGGTTTGCATTTACTCAAATCTCAAGTGATTTATAAATAGTGGAATATTTTAAAGTCTTTGCTTAAATCACCATGTTTGAACGTTGCATTAGCACCATTACGCTCACCCACCCACCCTTTTCTAGCAATTTAAAGTTGGTAACAACATCTACTTTCCTTCATTTTTATCCACAGCAACCAACATCAATTAGCAGCAGCACTTTGTCCCATTAACTCCTTATTTATGACCAATTCCCTTAATAAATATGCTCTACGTTGGTCTGAATGGACAGACGGACGGACATGTAAAATGGTGTGGGCACACGATAATATTTTGAGCATCTACTTTCGTTTCACCCATGAAATGAAACAAATAATATAATTCAGAAATGTAGCTAATATCCTCCGGTGTGAGTAATTGACGCCATGCACACATTATTATTTTTAGCCAATCCACTTATTTGTGGGACAGTTGATTACAAAGAGCAACCTTTAACAGTGACCTTTATGGAGTCAAAAAGTCATTTATGATTAAGAGGAAATGTCAACAAATCCATGCACAAATGTGATTCAGTCAAACTTGTGAGACGATCTGCATTATGTTTTAGCGAGTGGCGTGAGTAAATGGAAATTAAGATTATTTCTACGTGACGAATATTACTTCCACTTCCACAGTAACGCTATTTCTGTATTCGTACCATTTTCGCTTGTTTCCTTAACATTTGACCTCTGACCTGGATTCGCGTACCTATCTCATCTTAATGCACAGCCACAACTTTACTACTACGACTACTTTGCATACTCGCTTACCAGTTGTTTGGACATGTAATGCATGTGTAATGCATTGGAACGAGTGAACTCATCCACTAAAAATAATTCTTTACGATTTGTATATTTTAACAAGAAAATCCAGATGTGTGTGCATTTTGCTTGTGCGGACCCTGCCTGCTTTTTCTTCTTGTCCATTACTGCTCTACTCGAGAATATATATTTTTAGGAGGATTGATCCCTCTTTTTAGAAAGAAAGCGAGTTGGATTGATGGGTTGTATTTGAGATTATTACCTTAACACAGGTTTTCGTAAAAATACCCTACAAATTTTCCAACCAAGTAAAAAACATTTTTCTAACATTTCTTCAATCTTCGTACTGAATAATCCGCTCCACGTCGAGTGTAATGGATGCAGTTTACTCATGATGACAATATAACCTCCTTGCTACAGAATACGAGGGTTTTTGAGAGTCCGATCCCGTATTTGTGTTCGGAGGATGTCAGACCGGAAATCCGAATAAGAGGAAGAGCTTTTAGGTGTATGGATGAGAGTTTTTAGAGAAATATGTGCAAAACAAACCAGACTCTCTTTCATTGAGAAGACATGAAATTGGTGCGTGTGTGTTAAGAAAGGAGAAGGATGGCACCCGGGTTTAAAACTTTTTCAACATGTGCCTTGGAGTCAACTAATCTCGGGAATTTAGTCTAAAAGCTTACAAGATTCTTTCTTCCCTGCCCCGAGCAAATAATTAGGAAAGAGAATAGCGAGTCATGGTAAAACTAGGTGTAAAAGTGGTCTTCTTCAATGTTCAGAAGTTCAAACTCCCCGTAAGGTTGACATTTCTCGATTTTCATGCCATTTATAAGCAAGAGGTTCACACCAACACTTCACAGAAGGATCTCCAATTTCATTTACTCTGCTAATCTCCTATCTCTCGACTCTCACTCCACAGTCCGACCAACTACTTCTCTTTCGTATGTAGCACCTTTTGCCAGTAGTGTTTCAAAGAGTATGCAGCAGTGTCTAGTTGGCAAAATGTAGTAGGCGACAAATCGCTTGTTTGGAATCAATGACAGGATCAAATACTTCACCTTTTCGTGATGAAAACAAGGAATGAAATTTCCATCCATTTCTGAAGAAAGAGAAACCAAGAGGGCAGGCAGGCCTAATAAGCATCATCATCTTTTATTACTATCGCTGCCTAATAATCTTAAAAGGACGAAACCGAAACCTAGACAAGAGCGCGTTATACCGTGACATTGGCACTTTTGGACTGACTCCAAGCAATCCGGGGATCTTCATCATCGTGTAAAAAGTTCCCAGTGCATCACACATCGCATAATATCTTTCCTGAAGTAACAACGATGCGTGTACAAAAAGCTCAAGAGTATTCAACTAGGGCAACATTCAGTCATTTTCATTTCTTACATTTTTCCACCAATTTATTTCTTAATTTCTTCACCTTTTAATTCTTCAAGGCATATTTACTTTCTACATAATTCTTCTCTCACACTAATTATGTAATTGTGATTGATGGTAAAATGTCACCTCTAGACATCTAGGGATAAAGACAATCCATTGTTTACTTTTACTCTTCTTGAGATAAAATTACCCAATTTTTTCCAGTCTTTTTTGCCACATGTTCACATAACAATTCAGGCCGTGCCAAATGAATGAAGCGTTACGCTTTTTGCTGCTCAATATTTGTGGGAATATATACGTAAGAATAGCTTAAAATTAGTGTGTGAGACGACGGAATGAGGATGGATTTTTACAACCACACATCAAAATCTCTTGGTGCTGCTGGAATATTTGGAAAATCATCATGGTCCCCCATGAAAAATTGCTCATCTCCATTCAACACGTCCATCACATTTTTTTCCTTTGAGCAACTAAACAACTCACAATCAAATTAATCACAAGTCGGTGATATCAAATGGTACACACTTACTTGGAAAAATGTAATATGACCCGCATATTTGTACACACTCCCAGAATTCGTAGGGGATACATAAAGGTTTTAAATACTACATATTTACGACTGACATACTGTTCGTTCCACAAAAAGAGTAAGATTATGGTACAGAAGTGTAATGACTTTTCAATAAATACTAATAATAATCCTTGTTTAATGGGCTCATTGACTCTTGCGTCAGTTTGCTCAAATATTTTTTCAGACTGCAGTTCCGTATTATATGTTTTTGACAATACCTAACTCTCTTGATGCCGGTTTTGACCGGTAAAATTTTTTATGCCGGACAATCAATCATTCATAAGAAAAGGTGGCCTAGGTATAAAAGACTGTCCAAAAGAATGTCTACTTTGTATTGGACAACAATCCACAATGGATAGTCATTCATGCATGTTAATAATTTACATAAGAGAGAGAAATCATGTTTATGAGACAAGAGACAGTGTCTCTTTTTTAAAAAAAGCTCACCTGAAGCAATGCAATGACCAGCCTGGTCGGACTGCACTTCGACCCAGATCCGGGTGGAGCTGTATTGGACTCCATCGCTATCGTGCTTAGCGTCGTGGTTTTAGCAGAGTTGAGACTTTGTCTTTGTGACGATGGGGGTCGTACTTCCTGAATTTGCGGGGACGGAAGTAATATTTCCTCTTTTGGTGGGGGTGGTTGGTCCACCTCCGAACTGCAGGAGCTCGCTGTGGGCAACCTCATGCTGGCGTTGTCCTCCTCATCCCCATCCGTCATCCGGTCAGAGATGGAGAGTTGGCTGGACGTGGTGGAGATGGGACGAGGGGGTTTGCTCGTCCCGGCCACGACGACCTTCTTTTCAGATGCCATTATTTTAGCACTATTATTATTGTTCCGCAACTATTTCTTTGTTTACTTGCTACAACTTTTTGGCAAATAAGTGGAAGTATTAACAAGTATTGAGTTCTGATATTTGCATATGACACAACTCTGCAGAGAAGTCGTTCTCATATTATCACAACACAAGAAGAACACAGCAGGGTACTTACTAATACTTTTTAGTTATGGGTTTTTGCACCTAATTTCACACTTTTCCGTAACTGTACGAAAAAATTAAGCACATGTAAATAAGTGGAAAATGTTGACCTGATCTAAATCCAAATTATAATAGGATACGAGAATAAAGCAGCAGCAGCAGAAGGAGAGAGCGAGAGAGGGAGAACTACACAAGATTTTTAGTAGATCAGCAAATGCAGGGGAAACCAGAACACAAAGTTTCGAGTAGTCTACTTATTCGGTCGCTCGTGGTTTACAAACTAAAATTTAACTGACTGCAGATGGATCACTAAAACTGACTTGACTAAAACACCCAACACGTCGTCCCACACTGAAATATAGGATCGTCGTCACATCATCTCGACAACCACGGCCACGCTCTTCTCTTGCGAACTGCGTCTCCACAACTGGAAGGGATTTGTCGAATGTACACATGTTTTCATAAATATTACGTATGCACGTACCTTACTTTTCGTCTCTTTAACGAACCACTTAACGCTGGGATGTACATAAAATGCAGTGCAATACAACAATCCACTTTAATCCATGTAATACATCTGATTCAAGTGGTGGGCATACAGACGCAGGCCGCAGTGGGGAAGGCAGAGTGGTTGAGCAGATTCGCACTGCAATTTACCATCATTATCATTATATTATTATTATTATACATGCTAATCAAGAACAAGCGTCTTTGTGTACGTACAGTGGGACACAGATTCAAGGTGGTGGTGGGTTGGTTGGTATTTGTGCAGTTGTAAACAAGTAAGCTAATGATAGACCACAAAATACCTTATCAAACTGCATCTCACTCAGCTTTGTGGACAAACAGATTCATCGAGTAAAATATGCATGCAGTGTGAATAATAAAACGACCAGCTCAACAAAAACCTAAATGCAAATCATCCAGTCATTACAGGCAGTTGATGATGCTTGGGAATAAATGATTCAGATAGAATGTTCCTCTTGTCCGGTCTTAAATCCACATTTTAGTGAAATTTTGCCAACTAGTTAGAAATCACAGCAATGGTCTCACGATCAGTGCGATTTCTGGCGAGAACTCGGGCAACTGTGGTAAGATTTCCTCCTCAATAGAGGCTCCGAACTGCTCTGAAAATACCCGGGTAGCGAGTTGGAGATGTACGTATCCACAGCCGAGATAGGAAATGGCTGTTGTGCAAGGAAATGGGAAGAGGGCGAAAACTCACACTATTTCAGACAAATATTTACTGTTGGTGTCAAGCTCTCATGCAGTTTGTGAGTTTGCTCTCACTTTGACTAAAGACAAAATTTTAGTGTGAAAAATTTCCGACTTATTATTAAAGTTCTCAGAATTGGGTATGCAAAGGACTGCTGTTTCTCTTCCACCCTAAATTTCATATCTATCCACACAAGTTTCTCTCCAGAGAATTTTAATTTGCAGGGAAATCTCTGTGCTCGAGCTTCCACTTGACAAAGTGATTATCAAAATTCTTCAACTTTATTTCTCATCTCATTTCATGTTGGGGCAGACTCAATGCTACTTTCTCCCATAAATTAAACAAAACAAAGCGTGCGGAAAGGAGGAGGACGATGATGAAAGCCAAACCCGAGGAGCCAAGAAGTGTTTTAATTTGCCTCATTATTATACTTCCCTTAAAGCAAAGTCTAAGTAGTGGTCGAGCAGCTCCTTGGCTGTCTAAGACTCCTTTTTAAAGCCTTTCCCTTGGTTTTCTGCGTTTCTGTTTATTTTAGGAGAAAGTTAATCATCATTCGACTCCTTCTGGGTCGAGAGAGATGACGAGGTCGAGATTGTAACATCTGTCTCAACTTGGACATATATAAATACGAACTGTCCGAGACCTTTTGCAAATTATTCGTTGATCATGAAGTAGGAAAACTCATACAATAAAATGCAGAAGGGGAAGACTTTACATTTTTGGCAGAATGTCAGTCAAGCAAATTTACATGAAAACTGAGCCACTTTTTCCCCATTGCACACCGGAACAAATTCTACTCGCATGAAATTTATGACCCATACTCGACACCGCACACGACGATATCTCTCGTCCTCCAAAGAGAGTGGGATTTTCACCATGCATGTTCCGGACCAAGAAGCGAGTCGAAAATTTTATGTGGATTGGATTTCATCTCAATGTTTCTGGAATCCAGTCGAGGAATTTTCACTTGGCGAGTGAAGCAAAGTGGAAAAAATTGTCCCGCTTTTTTATGATCACACACATCCTTTCAACCAAGTCTTAAAAAACGTATTTAAAATACATGGGCAAGCCACAACTCTGCCGAGGAGATGGATCCATCAAACCACCGCCGCACCATTGACCATGCTCCCGTAATGAATTTATTCAAAACGCGTTCCATTTTATTGTATTGCATTTCAGGGGCACTCGAATCACTGGTGATGAAACAATGAAACTCTGGAGAGTTGACTCGTTTTTTCGTCATTCGTCTTCTTTCTCCCGACGCTCTCGTGTCCTCTGGGACTCTGGAATTTTGTTCCTCCCAAGTTGTTGACGTGTATGATGTATTGCATTCGCAGACTGGGAGGAAAATAAGGTGGAATTTGTTTTCGGGGACGAGATTCGTTTCCATTTTGCCTCCAACGATCCAACCGACCGACGTACGGCATAGAGTTGTGTAAACATGGTGAAAGATAATTATATCCTAAATTATTCTATTATTCTCCCATTTTTGAGTGGCCAATTTAGGAAAACATGCTACAATAAAATAACCAGTGTGTGATGCAGCCCTTGAAAATTGGAGATGCCTAAATATTTATCTACGTAACCAACTTGAAATTTAAAATTCACAACAACAACACCAACAACGAGGAAAGGACTCATTGAAAATGCATGAACTCCAACAACTAAATCGGGTGGGGGAGGGTATGAATGAATACTTGGATACGGCAGACATTCAAATTTCTTGTCGCATTCTACAATTTGTCACAAAAGTGACTCAATCCGCCGTAATCTGCATCTGGATGAGAATATTTCATTCCAAACTGGCCAGATTTAGCAGCTTCGTATGCCCATGTGCCCCGCATTTTCCATAAGCAGACTTCAGCAAAAAAAATGAAAAATGTTCAAACTACGAATATCTAGCTTGCCCTTTTCACTTCTCTTCATTTTTGAATAAATGTTTCCCGACATGTGTTTTCCTGCAGGGAGAAGATCGCCTTCGTAATACTTCGTAGATGCGTAATAATTTCAGAATCCTTGCACAAAACCCAGCTTAACACCAAGTCATTTTCATGAGTTAATTATAGCCCGATTTGATTGATACTTTCACCCAGTGCAAGGAACCCACTGTAGAAATGGTGCAAATGTGGTGTCCTTATCTTTGTCTGACTGTTGCATGATAGGAGAAACCGGAAGAGAAAGCGGGGTCGCTGCATTGGGATGAAGAAATTTTCAGTGAAAATGATTCTTGACGTACTTCTGACGCAGTGGTGAGTTCACTTTCTCCGTGAATTACGCTCTTCCTCCTGCCTACAAAATATCCCCACTTGCGTAGAAGAAGCCCAACGTGTGCATTCTCCAGAAATCTGAGATTTTGTAGGATTCCCAAAAATTCAAGTGTTGCTTTTGCTCGTAAGTGAGTGAGCGGACGAGTTTGTATGATTTCCCTGAGCTTGAACAACAACACGGCTGCCTCCCATCAGATCACCCTCTTTTTGCTCGAGTCTCACCATTTCAGTCGTATCGTGCAATAAGTGAAGGAGAAAAGAGCTCCTTGTTTCATTTCTCCCTTTTCCACCAGAAGACCATGATGTACATACGCAGTCAAGTAACCTCCTCTCATTTATGGTCCTTGTAGGATATTGTGTTGAGCAGAATGAAGGCATATATTCGCGTGGCAGTGGTGTTTCCTTTGCTTCAGATATTATTGTACTACAACAACCGATCACTTCCATGAAAATCCATCCCATTTGGACGACTGGCTTTCCCATCATCACCACTGCCAGACTAAATTCCAGCCAAATCATTCCCCATGAATTATAATGCACTCGCTCATTCCATTTTAATAAAGTGCCACCCAGCCAAACTCGCACTAACCGTCGTCTTCACTGCTTGGGAGGAATTTTCTCCAACTTTTCAATAATTTCACAACTTTCTCAATTACATCGGCATCGAATAAATATTAGAAATCGTTCCTGTTTCGCAACCTTCTTATTATTGGTGTTTGCGAGGAAGAAACGTCCTTGCATTCGTACACGAGGCGCCGCTAAATCAGCAGTGTATCTCCTCTTTCGGAGACAATGGAGAGACAATGGAAAGTGGGAGCGATTGTATTTCGAGATATTTCCTTCGTTAGCAGTATTTCTCCAGTCAAGCCGTCTGCCAAGCAGTCAGAGTAGCAGTATTGGCATTAAAAAGCACATGAGATGGAGTCCAAGATATTTGACCGTGGAGGACCAAGTGGAGTTGCAGAGGCAAATCATCCACTCTTCTCTCTCCCACCAACTAATCGATAAAGGCGTGTCAAATGCGTGCTCAGTTCTGCGGAAGCATGGCCCAAAGTAAGCAGAGAGAAACCACTCACTTTTCCTGCACCCAACATGACCAAGAGAGCAGAGAAAATAACCAGAGATCTCCCCGCATTTCGGTTAGCACGGCCGCCCTCCCATCATTCACAAAAAGGACGGTGTGGGTAGATCTGAAAAACGGGATTTCTTGCCATGCACTCTATATTTAGGCAGGCATACCCAGTCGATGCCCTCCGAGCTGTTTATATTTAAATGACCTTTCACCACTAATCAACTTTCCTCCAACCAAGGTGGATCATCTCTCTCCTCGAAATTGAAAATAAGTCAAGTTCAGTTCCGGAGGGTTATGTGAAAGGAGAATAATAAGTAATTTGGAAAATGAAGACGTCAAGAATGAATGAGATCATAATGTTGCGCAATATAAAGTTGGTAATAAAAGATGATACTTCTTGAGGGAAAGTTGCCGGAACGTTGCATTAAATTAAGTTTGTTTTGCTACAAAAGCAAGTTTGCAAATAAGCGAAAGTTTTTTTTTGTTTGGAGTTGATTGCGTAAAGAAAGCAGACTCCTTGAGAAATGGAGTATCACGCTCAACTTTACTGTTTCGTATTGTGTATCTTTTCAAGTGTTGGGATATACCTGCCTAGAAAGAAAAGTGCGTATGAACAATTGCGAAAAAAGTTTGTGAAAGTCAGAAAGCACTTTTTCCTGTATTTTGGTATGTTAACATTCTGTAAGGTAAAATAGGTTGTAGAACACACGGCAAAAAGTGCTGCATAGGTATTTTGTCGCTTTATTCCTGGTTGAACAGGGAACAACTTGTGGCCTTTTTTTTTACCCCGTCCACCAAGTATATAGATAAATATTTACGTGCTCTGGTGACGACATTGGGTCCTGGTTATTATTTATTATCAGAAAAAGAGTAATTTTCCGGTGTTTTGAACCCATGACAGGTTTTCTTTCCCTTATTCCATAATGAGAAAGTGTTTGACCATGGGTTGTGGTGACGGGGTGACAATATTGATGATGGTGGTCGTAGGCAGGCATGCAGGATGGCATTACTTTTCTCCAGGTCCCAATCTATAAATCTCTACTACGAAATAAATTGTTATCGCACCTTGTTCATGTTTCATTACTTGCCACGTCACTCGCTTGATTTCCTTTCAAACCTCACCACTGAACAACAATCAGCGTTTTGCGGTGTCGAATTATGCATTTCTCCATCACGCAATAATAATGTAGGCATGTCCAAATGTCCGAGTAGAAATATTGATTCCTTCACATTTTTCCAGTCTAACTGAATTATATATTGAGACTCGGGGTTGAGTTACATGCATTATTATACGAGCAAGAACACGTATCCATGCATGTATAAAGCTTTATAGAGAAACTGCACTACTGACGGTAGACATGATGTTATTAAACTCACGACGATGATGATAATGATGGCAGCTACTTTCATTTCATATGTAATAAAAAAACTCCACACACATGCAGGATCATGATATCGTGCCATCATCAAAGAAAAAAAAACTAGCAAACTCACCTTCCTTTCTTCCTTTCATCATCCCTTATTTTATTTTATTTTAGAAAGCTTGCTCTCCTCGGTTGTTGTTACTCTGGTGGTCGTGTTGCTTAGTGAGTTAAGAAGTGAAAAGAAGCCACTCCGAAAATAATATGAAGACTGGACTGGTTTTTGTACACATTTCTCTTCTCGTGCTGCATGGCCTCTTTTAATACTATTGTACATTTCCTGCCACATATCGTTGTCATGCATCCAGCTCAGTTTTCAGACAAACATGGGCATATGCAGTCTCGCGTTTGGGACGGGTGAAAGCCTGAGCCGGGCACGAAATGTGTGGTCGTCTCTTCTTCCCAGCATGGGCATTAATCACCCCAACCAACTAACTAAGATCCCGCATACATAAGGGTGCCTTATTCCCTTTCATCCCGACTGAGTGTAAGTACGAGAAGAAGAATAAGCAGCAGCAGCAGCAGCAGGAGCAGCAGAGAAATCTGCAACTGCACTGCACCACCACCACACTTACTACTCGAGCCGATATGATCCACTAGTAGAAAGCATAAGGCTAAGGAGAAAGAATAAGGCGAAGGTTGTCCAAACATGTCGAGAAAGTGAAAAAGCCGGGGATAGGAGCCTGCGCTATGCTTTCCCGGACTGAATCGTTGTCGGGACGAGGATGATGAGGCGCCTCGTGGAAGGTAAGCAGTACCACGGAGAACGGCAACCACTCTCCATCCAGTTGAGTCACCCTCACTCTCCAACCACCAGCAATTCTTCGACTTACTACGAGAAACAGAGAGAGAGAGAGAAAGAGCAATAGTATCAGCACCCACAAACCAACTACGAGTGAGAGAGAGAGAAATGAGAAGGAAAAGCAAAAAAGAGAGGGGACGGAGTTCTTCACCTTATCCTTGCTTATCCCCGTTGGGGGGTTAACTGGATCAGGATTGGAACCAAATAAAGTTAATTCAAAGTGGGTGTGGGACAGGAGAGATTAGACTTAAAGTCCAGATAGTACTGCTTTCACTCAATGAAAGTAAAAAAAATATTTTGTTTAACTGAGTGATGGACTTGACTTTGTGGCTGTGACTTCAAGTGAATTCCAGGAAATATTTAAGTCTAGAAAACCGCACAATTTCATAGCAATATCAAGAAATGTACTACGAAGAAAGTCATAAAAACTGTAGCTGTCCAACTTTTAGGAGAACTTGTGTAATCAATTGATTCCTGTTACAATGCAGTTATTCCCATTATTATCGTCTCTGCCGCAGTGTGGAACTATTATTGTCGAATAGTAAAATCAATAAAAATGTACGCAGCCCAATTTCAACTTGGTCCATCTCCTCCCATCACAATTATTCTTCTTCCATCAGTCATTGCTGGGCTTGGATTCATACTAGGAAATGATAGTGGTAGATTTGTTTCCAATAACGGGAAATCGTTCAGTAATTACGGAGAAGATCAATACCAGTCCTCAATTATTCGATGGAACCACAAACTTGCACATTTTCTCCACAAGACCATCTCGACCACGTCTATATGAAACTTTGTGCAAAATCAAACACATTTTGCAAATAGATCAGCCCACGCAAATATTCTTGCAGAGTGTAAAAAATAAATAAATAAAAGTTGTTGTGATTGAGTGATTTATTAATAATCATGGTGAAAGTTTACCCAGGGAAAATAAGTGCTTTCTATTCGATGGTGGCACTTTTGCCACACGTTTTGTTGACAACTTTTTAAAATATTTTTCTTTTGAAGAAGATATTCCTTGCAATTAGTGAGAAAGGAGCAAAACATCTCAAAATGCAGAAGGATTCCACGGCAGCCGAGCATATTCAATATGTCGGGCCTTACCGGTTAGAAAAGACGTTGGGAAAGGGCCAAACAGGTAAAGTTTGGGTTGAAACTTGTTTAAAAACTTATCAAAAAAAAGGCGAAAAGACCACGTCACTCGTGATGATGATGCATAATGGTTCAACGTCAATTGGAAGGAAATTGTTGATGAAACTTTTACTTTCTTTCGCAGCCAGAACTCAATCTTGTTTGTAATTTGATTACTCCACCGTGAAAAATTGTAGGTTCATTTAATAGAAATACGTACGCGTATGCAAGTACAAAGGCTTTGTTGTCATGAGGATAAAGTGACTCGGAATTGTTCCCTTTAAAAAGATCTGGAGCGTAAAGTACAAATAACAAGTTTTCCCTACTCGTTATTCGTAATTAGTAGTTAAGGAACCTCAGGATGAGACCGTATTTACAAGTTCACGTGAGTATGAAAGACGAGACGCAGATTGTGTAATCTATTTATCTCATGACATTCAACCTTCTACGCTCTGTGAGTAAATAGCAGGACGACATTGTGGAAAATGTGGAGTAATTTCTTCCTCTCTTTTTCACTATCAACAGAGTTTATGCAATTACCAATTTTCCATAATTAGATTGCCATACAAATCAAATTTTGCCTTGTATTTATCATTTAAAATTACATGAATTTGCTCCCAATCACTAATCCAAAGGTTTTAGAGGAAAAGGCTTAACCTAAAAAAGCTATGTATTTTCACTCCCCACAAAGTTTTCCCTTGATTGAAGCAATCAAGTTACGCAGGAGTGTAATGCACTCGTCTCATCACTCATAATACGCAACCTGCATGGATAATCAGGATATCGCATGCGTTTCTGTTTTCTTTCTTCTCTCCTGGCCAAAAAATGGGATGAGGAATGGGTGTCGACGGAGGAAGTGGAAGAGGAGGAATCATGACGATGAGTTAATGGATTGCGGAGGAAGTGGCATATGACGACGACGAGAGGAGTACAACTGAGGAAGGAAGAAATGCACCTCGAGATATAGATGACGTACGAGACGTCTCTTATGGTAAAATCAGCAGAATTCTTCCCCTCCACCCAGCCATCCATCCATCCATCCATCTATCCATCCTTCCGTCTCTCACTCCAACCAAATGTCCTGTCTTTTTGAGGTGGAAAACATATCAGGCAGGCCAGGCAGGAGAGAGAAAGGTGCACTTTCATCCACCCTCCTCGCGCTTTTGGCATCCATTTCCTCCTGTGCAAACATTTTGAGAGAAAGTAGACGGGGAAGGGGAATTTTATTTCCTATTACGATGATACGTTCCTGAAGCAAGAGGAAAAACACTAAGCTCTGAAGCACAGAGAGAGGCGGAGGAGGGCAGATACAATAATCCGTTCCTTTTAATCACAATGATGCGGGGAATATTACGCACGAAATGAAATGCAATATGTGTGGACGGGGGATGTACTTATGTGGATGGATTAAAAGTGGGGATTTCAAGGGAAATATTTATAAAATTAGGGAAACATGCAGAGTAGACCTCTTATTTGCAGGCGAAGTTTTTTTTATAGAAATTATCGATATTACATAATAGGCAATTTGTATCCTTCCACACTGCAATTACATATGTTGTACAAATAGATTAGTACTTGCAAAGGGTGAAAGTGTGAAAGGTAAATTGTATCATCGTGACTAGCCTACGATCTAGAGCGAGCCGTTTGGGAATTACTCCAACATTTGTGTTATCAAGTTTATTGGACGCCCAATTATTGATATAACCGCTATGGTATTTCTATCCTAGACAGAGTCGTACACGTAGATGAAATCTAATATTGGCAGAAATGTGTCAAGATTAGCCTAGCACAATATTTTCCCCTGCGTCCCCTTTTAACTTCTGGTCGGGTTTTAGTTGTAGTGGTCCACTAACCAGGGTGAAAGTTACAAGGCGGATTTGAATTTAAACAAAGAAACCATGGAAAGGAAATGCGTTTTCATGTCCTTAATGAACCATTTTGACAAAACTGCTAAACGGATAGTCAAATTAAAATGTCAAACAGTCAAACTAAAACGTCAACTAATTACACATAGAGCACGAAGCAATAGGCCAAACATTTTCAAATACAAAATCCAACTAAAACTATGTAGAATAGCTGTTGTTACCAATTTGTGTTATTGACTCGCAAGTTCATTACACTTATAGTGCATAGCTCAATAAATATAACTCGGGATCGGTCTAATCACATAGTTTCAGTAACGTATGTAGCTTCGAGTTAGTAGAATTCTGCTCAATTAGACTCGCGATGTTCACATGTAAATAAGAAAAAAAATACAAAATTTCACTGTCTTCACCAAAGTTTGTCACATTTGTATTCACCCACGTGTTTTTTTAAGAATCGGCTAAACTTTTCATCTCAACTCATCGTTTTGGGTTCACGAAACCAGGAGAAACTTTTTGTGGTATTGACGTACGAGTTGTTGGACATAATCCTCTTTCTTAGAAGTAGATGTCAAGCGTGGAGCCTTTTTTGAAGCTTTTGATGTTTTTGATCCATGAGCTCAGGATCGGGTTTTGAGCCGTTGCTATCACCAAAAGAAAAGTAAAACCTCGAGTAATTTGGAAATGGATTCTGTAAAGAAAAACAGCCCAGGTCGAGTTTCTCTCTCATCCACCTGTCGTCATACGATGTCAAAAAGGATGCTATTTTCGCTGCTGGAGTTGAAGGCCTTTTCCTTCGCCTACTTACTCCATGAGAGATTTGCGACAACACTTACTCGAGTACGCCGCATGAGTTCGAACATTTGTCAATTCTGAAAAATAAGTTTTCCCTCCTGCCCTTTGTTTCAGGAGGGAGCAACTTTCTCTCCTTTAGCTGCCAACAAACCCGTAAAAGGCAACATAAACACACAGTCACAGCCACGCAGTGAATGCTGCAGTTCACCTTTTGTAACTTTACGCTAAATCACTTGGATCGAAATAAGATCCTCGTCGTTTACCTTGCTTTTATGCTCCATTGAACTTTATCATATTCAGACCCACCGTAATTATCCATGCTCTAGTGCTCACTGGTAGGAAAGTTTCTAAAATGCAGCTTTGTACATCTTTATACAAGTTTTATCAATGAAATTATGCATATTTCTTTGAATACATTTGCAAAATAGGAAAGTTTGCAAGCAAAAACTTTTTGCCAGATAAAAACTTTACGAAATTTGAACTGATAATTTACGTATATAGCTGATAACATGACTTAATAATTTCAAAGACTTCGTAATAGGTTGATATTAAATATTTTAGGAAAATGAAAAGGAAGAATAATTCATAACTGAGATTTAATTTTCTATTATGCTCGAAATTTTCCAGAATATTCTGGCTGGGCAAACTTTCGTGCATAATACTTGACAAATTGTCACGTAGTCATTTTCTCTCAGCATTATTATCCTCGCTTCCCAAACCGGATGGGAAGATAAAGTCGCATGGATGTCCTACAAATAATTAAGAAGTAATTAATAACTGGCTGGTAGTCGAGTATATAATTCACCCTCTTACACAGCAGCTACCCACACACTCTTGCCTGCCACCCAGGCGTCGGTATCTTAAAATAGCTGTGCAATAAGTCACTACGGCGAACATTAAGGACCTAATTAATCCCCCATTTTCACGAGTAGCTCCCTATTCCATCCGATACAAAGCCGGCTGTTGCTGTCTCTGCATATTCATTACAACTTAATTCAACGACGACGACGATGATGAGGAGTCCTTCCTCGGTCGTTCCTTCCTTTCTAATTAAAACGGGAATGAACATCTGTGAATAATCTGTACTTGTTGTGAGGACGACTAATTAAGGGCACAAAAGACTTCAAATTGCAAGAAATAAGCCGTTATTAACGCAACAAATGGGTTTGACGTGTCGAAATAGTTGTAAAGGCAGGATTATTACGATTCATTAGAAATGCTGAATAATAATAAAGATCAGTCAAGCATACCTTGTTGTCTTTAGCCGACTCATCTCCAGCAGAACTCTTTTATGGTCGGGTTGTTGGTTAGTTGCGGAAGAAAGTGAAGCCATTTTTATTGTTGATTTCCCCATGAAATCCGTATTGTCTTAATTTATGAGACGGAGAGAAGGAGACAGGAAACAAGAGACACGAAATGATTACTAATCCAGACGAAAGTGTGCTTTTCTTTTGATTCTGGAGAAAGTTTTGCTGACTTGTGAAAGTATTATGGTCGGGATTAGAGCTAATTTATTTATTGCGACGTGACTCTGAGAATATAAAGCTCGAGATGGTGATTCCACCAAGAAAGGACAGAGAATCACAATCTTCTCTCCTTGTTGTCTCACTCACTTTAATATCTTGTTTATTTTCCAGGTCTGGTGAAACTGGGAGTGCATTGCGTCACCGGAAAGAAAGTCGCTATCAAAATAATCAACCGTGAAAAATTAAGCGAGTCGGTGCTTATGAAGGTTCGTTCGAGTGCATATCAGACTTCAATTCAGGGATAAAATTACGGCTTAGAAAATTACGCCTTCCTTAATTACGTAACTGCCTTCCACTTACTTGAATACTTTTTTTAGGTGGAGAGAGAAATCGCCATCATGAAATTGATTGAGCACCCCCACGTCCTCGGGCTGTATGACGTTTACGAGAACAAAAAATATCTGTAAGTCATTCACTCGCTCGTCAATCCTTCTTCCTATACTCAATTAACACTAATGAACTCTCGGGAACTGGGTACATAATTAAGACCTACATATTTCCTTAATTAATGATCACCATTAATTAATTAGAAAAAAGAGTCTTACAACCCTGAAAGGTTGGCACGATTTATTACCAGGGCCCGGTAGAGATGCAAATTAGGCGGAGAACGAAAGTTGAGATTGAGACGGAATAGAAGTTCCCCAAGAAATGAAAGGAAGTAGGTAACAAAGAAATTGAAAATCATACAACACACTTGACTCTCGAGTCTAAGTTATACGAGATACTTTCTCTCCGCCATCCTCTCCGCAAAATGATTAAGACTTCCTTTGTGCAAAATAAAGCCGGAGGAGAAAATCCGTCCATTGTTCTCTTATGCTTTTTATGCTCCTTTATTGTCAACTTATGTATTCACCACACCCTTGCCAGTGCACGGGGTGGTGGGAAGAAATACACATAGGATTAAGTAATTAGAGACCCCATACATACAATACTTGATTTCTTCCTTCATTGTGCACATATCTCGTGATGATACCTTTGGAGCGAACAATGTCTCGAAATTAATCGTGTTTGAAATGATTCCTCTCTCTTTGCAGATACTTAATTCTGGAGCATGTGTCTGGGGGCGAGTTGTTCGATTATTTGGTCAAGAAGGGAAGACTTACGCCCAAAGAGGCGAGACGTTTCTTTCGTCAAATCATCTCTGCTCTCGACTTTTGCCATAGCCATTCCATTTGGTAAGTTCTTTTTTCAGTTTACTCATCTTCTAGCCAAGTTTTAATTTGCTGGGAGAACGCAGTAGAATTTTAGTGGGGATTTGAATTTCATAAATGGGATAAGCCAATGTTTATTGTGGTCGTAAAAAAGGAATAGGGAGAAAAGAAGATGATTAGATTTTAGGTTTAGTTGTGTGTGTGTGATGGTGAGATTGGGAAGGTATTCAGCAGTTGACGCAGCTTAGTTGTTGACTTTTCCTTCAAAAATAGAGCAGCCTTTCTGGATTCTATAGATTCTCTTAATGAAATTAGAATCGATCCGAGTGAAAATAGGTGAAAGTGAAGAGTAAGAAGCGATTGGAAAATGGAGTTTGCAAGCTGATTTTATTACAAATTGGCTTCGTCTCTCTCTCTCTCTGCCGTAGATACCATAGCATTATCGTCACGACGGAAAAGGTAACCTGTTTTGGGGGGTTTGTTTCCTCGTGTCAGTTTCTTTTATAGTCGTCTCATCTCATCAAATAAAAATCACGACGACGACGACAAAGACGACTAACATCAAAGTCTTGCGTTACCTGATGTGATGCTGACTTTATTCTCTTTTCTTGCCGTTTTTAGGCCAATGTATATCTTTTTGTGTTGTCTTCGTAGAAATGGGTTTGTAATATTGACAAAGTACGAAAACTGATACGTACACGAACCATCTCAGATTTCTCAGACATCCCAAAGTTTCTTTCGCCAAGGTTTTTCAGTGTTATTTTATGTATGCATTTATGGGCATAAATAGCAATTTCACCTCTGGCGTGACCCTGGGTCTCTTATTTCCTTATTTATGGAACCATTAAAATTATTTTTTCGAAAAGAAAACTACATAATTCACATATGTAAATTTAAAGCAAAACTTGTGTGGAAAATAGAAACAAAAACAAAACGTGGCAAATTTCTAGGGCCGTTGTACTCCAATCCGTCTTAAATATTGGGTGAAAAGAAGACAGTAAAGATTTTCATTTTAGTGTCGACTCATCACAAACCAGATTTCTGCAGAGGCAGCAAAAATCCAGACAAACTGATCCGCTTATAACACCATTCTTAAATTTGTTGTTAGCATTTTCTGCAGTCGAGACTGATTTTAAGCGAAAAACATGTTTATGGCCTTGGCAAAATTTGATATTTTAAAATCTGTATCGATTCCAGCCATCGTGACTTGAAACCTGAAAACCTGCTCCTGGACGAGAAGAACAACATAAAAATTGCGGATTTTGGGATGGCATCTCTCCAGCCGGAAGGAAGCATGTTAGAAACAAGTTGTGGATCTCCACACTACGCTTGTCCGGAAGTTATACGGGTAAGTTGACTGCCATCACATCACAGTTTGCAGGCCTATCTCGTGTCTGAACTATCTCGTATTCACGATATGAAATATGACCATCTGATACGTCGACTTGCTTTCCCCAGAGCAGGTCTCATTCCGACAAAACTCAGGTAGTGGTACTGGGCACAATATACATAAGTAGTCACATCCGACAGATATTGGTCGGCAGTAATAATGCTACCGGAGAAATGTGATGGATACCGATAAATATTGATTGGAGTATATTACCCCAAAGAAAAGGCACGTATCCAAAGTAAACCAGGGTTCTTTTCTTTCACAGGGTGAGAAATATGACGGGAAGAAGGCTGACGTGTGGTCTTGTGGCGTGATTTTGTACGCCTTACTTGTGGGAGCTTTGCCTTTTGACGATGACAATCTTAGACAACTGCTGGAGAAGGTGAAACGTGGTGTGTTTCACATTCCCCATTTTGTGCCCCCCGACTGCCAAAATCTCCTCCGGGGAATGATTGAAGTCTGTCCGGATAAAAGGCTCACGGTAAGTTTACCAACTTTCCTTGACTTTCACCACTTTCTTTCGCGCACACGTTTCCTATGAAGGAGATACCGCGTATACATGCACGCATGGAAAAAGCTGAGAATTTATTTCCGTGGGAATTAATGTTCTGACACGTAAAATGTTTACTGGCTCTCGAGTCGCATCAGTTTGTGTGTGTGTAAGGCGAAGGAAATGCCATCATATGCCAGACTATTCCATAACGTTATGTGAAGAACAAATAGTAATTGACTTTGAAGTTGAACGTACGATGTTGGAAGAGCTAAAGGGTAAGCAAATAGTATGTATAAACGAGTTTTGCAAGTGTGAATGAGCCTGCTTCTAGTGGAGCATAATTTAATCTAAACTGGTAAAATATTAGACAAATGCAATTTCTTTGACACTTTTTTTCCAGCCATGCCATAAGTAAGTGTTAGGTTCAGTTTCCTTCTCAAGACGACAGAGAAATTTATCCTCGGTTAGAAGGCTTTTAGAAAAAGTTTAAGAAATAAACGACGGAAACCGTTGTTGAATCCTGAGCTATAAAAAAAGCCAACTCCCACATTCATGCATAAATACATACTGTACTATGTCCATATCTATCTATTTGGGGGGTTTGAATATTTTTAAGGTTTATTATTCCAAAATGACATGATTTCCAAAAAATGTCACCCAAATCAACACACGATTGTTCATGACACATTGTATTTCCTCTGCAAAAAAAAGTTCCACAGAAGTCGAGGTGAGGTGGTGACCCGACCAACCCACATTTGACATTTTCTGCAGATTCTGTGAAAATTTGGTATATTTGTCATTCCGCAATATGCTGGAAAAACTGATCGGATCGGACGAGCTTGAAACATATAGGAGGATATCATCTAAAGCACCTCTTTATCCTCATCCCTTCTCTCTCTCTCTTATCATGGAGCTCACTTTATCCAAATTCGAGTCAATGTTTCATCCAAGGCCCCGTCATCGTCGTCGTCGTCTCCTCGTCCCACACATGCAAACGTCTCGTCTTGTCCCGTAACTTATCTTTGCGCTAATATAAGTGGGACAAAGTTGGGTGGGTAGTCCTTCCCAAGTTCTTCTTTGATATCCTTGTGCATTGCATTGCGTGACTTGGCACTGCAAATACACGACATGAATATTTGCAGTAAAGTTGGTTGGGCAGGCTATTTCTTCCTTTCTCTGGTTCAAAAATGCCCCATTTCATGTCACGGATTTCCGGATGGGATTTATTGTAATGTGCTTGTTCTGCATTACACGAGTCTGACTCTGTCCATATATTCATCCCGCTGTTCGTTGGTGGGTTGGTGTGCTTTGGTTGAGTTGGCGAATATTATTCCGTCCGTATGTCCTTGAGTGGGGAAAACTAGTCAAGAATTTGTATTGTTCTTTCAACAACGGCAAATTCTTTTGTGACACTTTAAGATTTGGGCAAATTCCAAAGACTTTGTGGAAATGAATCTCCATCAGTGAACAAAATAAATTCAACTCTGAGCATTACTTTGGACTGCTGCCTTATTTCTTTGAAATAGTATAAAGAAATCATAAATTCAGCGAAACATAAAATCGTCTCGTCTCCATATTCCTTGAAGCGTCGTGTCTTAAACACTACAATTTTCTCAGATAAATGGAAACGTAATGAACCAAAGCTAATTCATGCAGTGTTTGATGTTCTCTTGATCTCTCGCATGGAAAATTATGGCTTTCCGTATATTATTTTTATTTGTAGTCACTAATTCTCAAAGAATTCTCAACAGAATTATACCGTAAGCACGCATGTAAATAAGTTTCCTTTCAAAAGACCGAAATGACCACGGCTATGCAAACCCCTTCTCCTCGAAAGTCACACAAAAGATGGAATTGTTCAGTGTTGACCAACGTCTTTGACATCCCAGAATAACTGGCTTCTTGCTACTGCATTTTCTCTCCTCCTTTCACCACCCGCACTCCACTTGTGTGCTCCTACCATCGACCGGATGGGGTAACCTCACCGTCACATCCGAAGCGATCTTGCCACTTGAGAATGTTCAACTTTGAACCTGGAGAAAGTTTTTGTGTGCCTAGTGCCTCTGTGTCCAATCTCCATTCAACTCTCATTTTTTGCCCGGCTGCTTGTCAACTTTTCCACTAAAAGAGCAAAATCATGTTTGACTTTATATAACTTCCCCAAAACATTAAATCGACATTGTTGAATTGAATTTCTTTCTGAATCGGCAGAGTACAATCGTTCACTTAAATTCTCTTTTGATATTGTTCGCCTGTTTATAGGTGCATGCTCTCTCCTCTTCACACATCGGCTCCAATAAGTAAATGCTCATTTACTCTCGTTTCCTTCCAAGAAAGTTTACAAATATGATTTTTAAACATGAAAAGGACAAGTTTTTTTTCCGCAAGGAGAGCAATTTCACTTATTTGTGTAGATGTTCTCTTTTCAACCGGAGATATTTTCGTTTTCGTGACACGACCACAGATGTGTATTGATTATTTCTCCAGGCTGAACTCAAAAAGACTCGGAGGAATTCACATTCCCATGCAAAGCTCCACGTCGTCCCTCTACGTACATAGTTAGTTGGCTGGCTGGCTGGCTGGCTCTCTTTCTCCGTGCTCCATCCAACCACCATCAGAAGGGAATAACTACCACCAAAGACCAAACCACGGGAGGAAAAGTTGGTAAGAGTGGATGGCTCGGGTAATGCAAAGGAAGGAAGAAAAGTAAAATGCAGCATTTGAGTCCGTTTTTTCGTGGTGCGAGTGGGTGGTGGAGTTGCCTCCTGCTTCCTGATACTGCAGGGTCACATACACCACCACTAACATCATCCCCATCATCGCATATGCTCCTCCAACTTTTGAGATGAAATGGGATTTGATTACCTTGCATATGTACATATGGCGTGGAATCTTGTACGGGTTCGCCACCATCTTTGCCGTGCCTACTTCCACGGACTGAATTGATGGGTGAATATCAGCCTGGGTTAATTTCTAGCTCTTGTAAGGATGTAATTTCACTCCAGATGTATATTTATTTTCACGAGACCTTGCACCACATAGGATTAAAACCTTGAGCCAGTTGGCTTTGGCTGGACTGATGATCCACGAGAGAGAGAGAGAAAGTACAAAGAAAGATTGAAACTCTTGTGAGGCTGATGGGCAGGCAACAGCCGTCCATCCATTCGTTTTCCTTTCATGCCCACCAGGAAACGTTTTCTAATAAGCAAAAGCAGCCCTCCTGGCAAGGCAATCATGAGCTTAGCCCTATGCATTCACCAACCACTAAGCTAACCCGAGGTGGTTCCACAGAACAGAGAGAACAACAAATAGTGGCAGCAGCATCAGTTGGACGAATGTATGTATGTACATGCATATGTACGTTGTTGTAAACCTGTGTATGCACAATGCCCAACTGGCAAATGTACCTGGCGAGTTTGACTGAAGGGCAGTAAGCGAACTAACTAACGGAACGGGACAAGAGAGCGGAGAAAGGTAAACCAGAAAGAGTCCTGATCGATTTACTGCTACTTCAGCTTTAGGATTTTCCCATGTTTATTTGTGAGTGAATAATCCTAAACTGAATGGAGGGATGAATGCATACACACACACACACATGCACATACAGACTGCTTGCCTCGTGAATAAGGTGTGCTATCAAAGTTTGTTGTATAATGGCGATCAATTCTCCTCATATTCTGTTCCCTATAACGTCCGACTCGCAGTCATTTAGCGTTCCATGAAAAATGTACTTCTTCGGAACTAGACATTCAGTGGTGGTGGTGGTGGTGGTGCATAGGTGTTTCCCTGTATCCCGAATTCACATGGAGAGACATATGTAGCCGTATGTTGTGGAGATGGAGTAATGACCACATGAAGTGATCAGTGGATGACATCGATATAGGTGCACACGAAATTCTTCGATTTTCCAATCCTACAAAAACAACTACCAGTATTGCATGCAATCCATTAAACGCATGCATGCCTAATCATATTCCGTACACAAATTGCTGCGTACTTTAACTGAATAACGAACCATAATGTTTCCATCGATTCGGACTAAATTACAGGCCGTGATTTCTGATCATGGCTTTTTTATGTTGAAATAAATATCCGTGCATGTGAAACTCATTGACTTGGTTCATAAAAGTTCAAGGCTTAGCTGCGAGCTACTCGGAAGTGAGAGAATCATGGCTTTATTTTTTTGACTCGGTGATGTAGTGGGTTTCAATTTTCTCTTTTTTTTCTCCAGAAAGAAAACCTATCACCTGTCACCACCACAAGATTTTGGGTGGTGGGGACGAGAGAAAGTTTTCCCTTCTCCATTTTTAGGCTTTCTCCGCGCGTCACTTTTTTCTTCCTTTTGTCTCTCTCATTATTTCATTAAAGTTATCACCAAACTTTCCTCCCAAGCAGACCTTCTTTCCTCACCAGCTGGGAGTAATGAATTGTAAATTTTATTGATAAATTAAATTAGTCTGGTTCTTGACTTGGATGGGTTAGTCAAGTTAATGCAAATTGAAGCCGAGTCGTCCTTACTTTCGTGTACAGAGCTGCACAAGTAGCCAGTGGCTGTAGCAACAATGTAATCGTGGGCAACTGCTGCTGGTGACTTGAGTGAATTATGTTATGGTGTACATACATGGAATGGTGTGGCTTTTGGTAGAATTTGCAGTGGTCCTCCGTCCACCGGGTTTTCTAAGTGTGTTACCCTTTTGCACTTTCTCCTCGCTCTCTCCCTTTGCCCATTTCTCTTGCAGCCTTTTGCAGCCTTGTTGGATTGATTAATTTAGGAGGAAATTATTGATGTTGTTGTTGTCTGCCTGCCGCATCCCTCCTTTTCCTCCGCCTCCTAAATAGATTGGAGGCCAAGAAAAGGAAGAGAGAAAAAGGACAGAGAGATGAAAAATTGGAGAGAAAATGCTTACTTTCCTCTCCTGCCAACTAAAGTAAATATCTCCGGGCTGGGCTGGAAACTGGCCATTTTCCTACGTGCTCTGATTTCTTTG